TATATATATATATAACCAATTTCGTATCCCTTCCAAGGAGAGGAAAACATTTTTCACATTCTCACGATAAAACATCAGACTACGTACAGTTTTTCCTTCAGTTTCAAACTACCTTTATCCCATCTACCTTCAGAGCGCCAATCAGCAAAAAAACATTTTTTTTCATCGTAGAACGAAAACTTTCAGAGAGCGTTCCTCGCTGAGTTTTACAAAGTCAAACCAAAGTAACCACAGCGAACAATTAAAGCGAAGGAAAATGTAACAAGAGGCCAATAAGAACTCAAAGTGAAAAAACGCAAACAGACCGAAGCGCGAGAAAACGCGGGTGACCATGTTTCGATTGGTTTAATTTTTTAATCTGATTGGTAGAGAGGCTGGCTTGAGTTTTCTAAACCGATCGACCAATCATAAAGCGTATAAAATAAAAACCAATGTAATCCCAGATTACTTTCGATCGAATAACCACCCCAAATCACCGTTACTTCCTTTTAAATACGCGAGTAAAAGTTTTTACATTCCTCAACTACACTTTGCTCTTTCATATACCTCTGAGTATGAGAATTGTGTCGCTTTCTGATGAGGTATGATTCATAAAATCGAAGTGTAGCAATACCTTTGTTATCGAGTTCTTCTCTCTGCGTCCTTTGTAAGCGATTGCTAACAGCCGCCGAATGACATTGTCAACATCAGACAAATCAAAATGGTCAGCGTCGATCTACAGAGTATAGGTAGAAACGAAAAATTAAAAGCTATGAAAAAACAGTTTATTCTGTCGAATGTTTAGTCTTTCACCCCAGGGCTCATTTTCTGACTATTTTTTGCCTTTTTTATTTATTTTTTTTTAAATCATCCGCTAAATAGAACGTGTGCGTCAGGCGTAGGGCATGCGAAAGGGAATCTATTTTGGCCTGCCGCACGCCAATTTCGCGCGCAAAATTTCAATGGAATACATACGAAACAAACGCTGTCAAGCCAAGTATGCAAAAAAATATTGTAAATCTGTAAAAAGGTACAAAAGTGGGAAGATGGAAAGTTCGATAATTTTCGTAGACAAAGTTTATCCAATTAGGGATTTCAAGCTCGGATTTACTACTTCGTTTTGAGCTTCACCAAAATCCTTATACGGTTTTCAAACACTGCGACTTACTAGCTAATGTGGATGTTTATCATACAACTTGGTCTCGACACAATGACAGCACGTCACCGAGCCTGTACAACGTTCCCATGTGCGCAGTGTTACCAAGTCGTGCCAAACACAGTAGTCCATTTTACAGTTGTGTACTTGGTTGCCAAGCCTTTGAATGGGAGTGACGCTAGGGTTGACCTTGTTATGATACAAACCTTCCTGCCTTTCAAATGTAAATCACTTTGTTATCATGCTAAGTAGATACAGGTCTCTGTCACAACAAGGTCACCTTCAGCCTCACTCTGAATCAAAGGCTTGGCAACTAAGTACACAACTGTAAAATGGCCTATTCCCTGATCTAAAGCCCATGGATGACGTCTTAGTCCTACAAGAGCGTCACAGGGGGAGGTTTTTTTTTTTCCTCTGGCTTACAACTCATAAATGTGTTTTAATGCAGAAATTTCAATTTAATGTTCCCTTTAAAAAGATCAGTCGAGGCCGAAAAGACAACATATCTGTTGCTGTTTACGGTTAAGAGAATCTTTTGCTCACCTTTCCGTTCCCGATCAGTTGTCTCAATACAGCACTGGATGACGACCTCCATCTCTGAAAAGTAATTGAGGAATAAATGAAAAGAAACAAAAAGCATTTTACGCAAAACTGCTTTCTTCGACAATCTTTCCTTGAATACGTATTTGGTTAAATAAAATTCCAGCCATTCGCGTCTCAAACCCTCTGTGGTTAATTAAAAGATCTTCACTAATTACCGCCTTGTATAACTCCTCCAGCCGAGTTGTCGTCAAAAATCTGCTCATGCTGACGCCATTCTCCAAGAGAAGCTTGACAAACTCGACACGGTTGTTGACCAGAGCATCCGTCATTGCATCCTCCAAGGATTTCATCTGGAAAATAAAATGAGCAGTTGGCTCTGGCAACGTTGACGATGTCTTTGACTCGGAGGCGGATAGCGCCGCTTATTTGCTCATGAACGCAATGTGAAAATCTAGAGATATGTTCCACCTTTTTTCGTAGGTTTGACACACTTAGTGATTATCCCACCTTTGTCAAGGACATTTGTAAGATGGAAAGTTTTTGGAGCCAATAATTAAGAGCCGAAAAAATCTTGACCGGGTAGATCGGATTTCCCTAGTCTGCACGCCACAAAAGTCTTTTGCCTTGTACCATTTACAGTCCGGCATTAGAAAGTCTGATATACAAGATCTAGATTCTTATGATCAAAAATACAATCTCAGTTTCTTGTCTCGCTTTAGGCTTTATGGGAAAGCAGCTTTATTTCATAGCAATAGACATTTTGATAGAATAGGAAAAAGTAGAAATTAAGCTTTTTGGTTTGTCGAATTACAGACAATAGTCGAAAACCACCTTTTACCACCCTCTGTCAAACATCGCCATATACTACACTTTCTTTACATTTATCGGTATCTTAACTCACGGGAAAGCGAAGGAACTTGAAATCAATTCGTTGATCTCAGGATGTACCTGCTTTTGAAGTTACACCAAATGTTTGAGTTTTCTGTAGGTTTATGGGTATCACGAATGATAGTTTTTTACTACCGATAAGAGCAAGCGCTCAAAATATCTGTTACATTGATAAACAGCCATACCTTCCATTTTTGGTCTTCTGTAAAGATCTCTGTTTTGGCGATATCAGCCCTGTTCCATATTAAAGCCAAACTCAACTGGTCAGCGGCGGACGCATGTTGAGCTACAAATGACAATGCGTAACATTAACAAAGCGTTCAACTGTAAGGCATGCGTTAGTGGGCCAGTGATGGCTGGCTGTACGCAAGTTTCCTGCTTTGAATACCACTGGAAAACACAAGTAAACAAGCCATGTCACGCAAAATGTGCAAAAAAAAAAACTTGAATCGTTCAAAGCAATGTCAAAAAGGAACTAAGGTGGACTTTTTGACATTCCTCTGACGAAGGGCTAACGCTCGAAACGTCAGCTTTTTAACTCTTTACGGTGGCCAATTCACAATTTCAACTAAGTTGATTTTACCAAATTACTTTGTTACCCCCACCGACGCAGCACTACAGTTTCTTTAGAAACATACCCCCTTTATTCATTGGACTTTTTGAAGCTTCTGTGGTTACGTATTCTATATTTATTCATCATTTTATTTTAAGCTTTACCGAAAAACGTTGCTTGTGTGTCTTTAATAACTGAATAAAGGCTGATAGTCTCTAAAGAAACTGTTTGGGGCTGCGTCGGTGGGGGTAACGAAATAATTTGGATATATCAACAAAGTTGAAATGGTAAATTGGCCACCGTAACGATTACAAAAGCTGACGTTTCGAGCGTATATACACCGGCGAAACAGGCAGAAGACTAGGTGACCGATTCCGAGAACACCTTCGCGACGTGGAAAAGAATGACAAGGACACATCGAAACCAGTCGCTAGACACTTTCATTTAACTAATCATTCTAAACAACATATGGCAATCTGCGGTCTTTCCTTACACTTGGGTAGCACGGAAAGCCGTAAAACTCTTGAACAAAAGTTCATCTTTCAAACCGGCAGTCTAAATCCCACAGGGATCAACGAACGCTTTTCATTCCACTAATTTATTCGTGTTTTTCTCGTTGCCATGTTCCCACCAATAACGTAGCTCCATTTTCTGCCTTTAAAAGCACACACAACCCACAATTCCTCTATTCGCTCCGACGAAGGGCTAACGCTCGAAACGTCAGCTTTTGTAATCGTTACGGTGGCCAATTTACCATTTCAACTTTGTTGATATATCCAAATTATTTCGTTACCCCCACCGACGCAGCCCCAAACAGTTTCTTTAGAAACTATCAGCCTTTATTCAAATTAATGGTTGTTGGCCTACCGCAACTTACTAAGCAGTTACCACCAATATCTTTTTCTATTTTCGATAAAACTACATCACCGGTTCCCTTTGCTAGGGACCTTGGAGTGACTCGTCTTTCATACGATACTCATATTACTAAAACAGTTTCAAGTGGCTTTAATCAGTTAGTACATATAAACAGAATTAAGCATCTTTTAGACAGACCAACACTTCTATTACTTATTAAAAGTTTTGTGTTCACTAAGCCTTTTTATTGCTTGTTGGTGTGGGCAAAAACTTTGCAGTAAGAAATATTCTGGGACTTAAAAGAATCGACCATATTAGCGAAGGTCTCAAGTCACTGGGAATAATCAAGGTAAAAGATAGACTAGATATTAATGACGCAGTGATGGTATTTAAATGCCTAAATAACCTTGCGCCTAAATATTTATGTGACCAGCTACAAATGAGATCCTCTGTATGTACCAGGGTAACACGATCTGCAAACAACCTAAGCATTCCTCGTTGTCGTCTGGCAACCGGACAGCGTCGCTTTGCATATAGAGGTGTAAAGATCTGGAATGGTTTAAGTAATGACTTGAGGAACTTAACTAGTTTAGATGCAATAGACAATATTTAAATAAATAATGTTAATATATCTGTTCTTAATTACATTTATCTTATTTGAAGAATTTTTTAGAGAATATCAAAGTTAGTATGTTCATATATTTTTCTTTATATTATTGTACTGAAAAGCCCTTTCAGGGAGCTGCAATAAAATGCATGTATGTATGTATGTATATTACAAATATTTGTCAGCTTGTTACAGCATACAGCATGAAAAAACATATTTAAGTTGGCGTAATGTTATCGTAAAGCTGCCGTAAAGGT